ACGAGGAAGAAGAAGAGGAGGAGGAGGGGGGAGAGGCCTCTTGGCCAGGCGGGGAGGGCGGTAGGAGGATGCGGCGGGGAGTCCCCCTCTCTCGGGGGTGACCGGGGCGCAGGGGCGAGGTCGCCCCCAGCATGAGCGCGGAGCCTGAGTGTGAACCCCCCGGGAAAAGGGTTCGCTTGAGCCGCTTCTTTCCCCCCGCCGCCGCCGCCAGCAGCAGCAGCTCCGGGGAGCGGCCGGCGCCCTCCTCCGAGAAGGTGGTCCCGCAGCCCCCGCCGCCTCCCCGCCTCAGGGAGGAAGGGCCCGGACCCGGCGGCCCCGCAGCCACCGTGGGGAACAAAGGTGGGCGCCCCGCGTTGATTCAGACCTGGGGGGAGGGCGGGAGGGGGGGACCACCAGGAGACCCTTTCCCGGCACCGGGCGGTCTTCGTTATCTCGCATCCCCCCGTGAAACTGGGGAGCCGGAAGGGAGCCCCCAGACTCCAAACAGACCAGCGCTGCTCTCCCTCCTGCTGCAGAAATAAGGCTCTCTGATTCGGCCTAACGCTGCATTTCCCTTCTGTGGAGTTTTGGGTGCTACATTTGTTCTTTTCCTGATGGCATCTTGTATTCAGCTTTCGATAGGCTCGGCTGAATGTGGACCCACCTTCTAAAGACGCCGTTCAGGCTGTATTGGACTGGCTTGTTGGCCAGAATAGTGACGCTTACTTTGGGAAATGACGCATGAGCGTACGTGGATATGCAGCTAATTCTGATACCTTCGGCGTGTTTCCCAGAGCTGATGAAGTAGCTTCTTGCCAATTAAACACCAGTAAATTCATTAATTTATATAGGTCTATTTTAAGATTGGTAAGTTTGGGTCCAACCTTTCCAATTCCAGTAAAACTATCGTATTTTTCCTTCCAGTTTACAAACAAAAGAGAATTACCTCTTGGATGGAGAAAAAAGGAGCCAAAACTGTAGAATCTGAAAGGTAAAAAAAAGCATCAACTCATTTTCTTTCTGCTCCAGCCTGTAGGAATGGTTACTGCTAGGTTATTCCACCAGAAGACTAATAACCCTTTGCTGTTATAAGTTGACATTTGGTAAAGTACACTTGTATTAACAAAAATGTCAAGAAAAGGAACAGTGTAAGAGGCGACATGCATAATGGTGCTGATATCAGACAAAGGTTTCTGATTTTGGCCTGCTTATAAATTTGGAGTGTTTTATAAAGGAAGGGTGTTTAATCATCCTCTGCTTGGCATGGCAGGATTGCTTCATCTCCCTTGTCATTTTTGAATTATGAATTACTAGTTGCAATATTTTCTGCATTTTTATGAGGTAATACTATACCTTTTGCATGTTATTTGCGTTGTGTCTTTACTTTTAGAAAATAAGCTTTTAGAAGCTGTCAGTAACCATATTTTTAAGAAAAATTCAGAAAAAAATCCTGTCTTCTGCTATGCTCAGTTAATTAGAAAAAAGGGATGGTATAGCAAAGCATAGCAATAGGTTAGGAATATGTGATCCTTTGACTCAATGGTGGGAATTAGAACAGAATCTAATCTAGAAAATTTAGAGTGAAAATAATGTTCAAATCAAGTTTTTTTTTAAGCTTCTTAATATTTTAATTCTGCGATAGACAGCTGGATGCCTTTCAGATGTTTGGATTCCAACTGCTAGCAGCCTGGCCAATGGCAAGGAAGTGTGAGGAAATGGCTATCAGTTTTAACGTACAGTATTCTCTTTTTACAGCAGGCAAAGCAAAAGAAACAATATGGAAGCCGAGTCCAAAATGGCGTTTGTTAAAAAAGATTCTGTTTTTGACCACGATGCAAAAAAGGCTGAGGGTCTCTTCGAGCAGGGGTGTTCAAAGTTATCTGTGGAAATGAGCACCAAGCAGGTGGCCTTTCCTCCAGCTGAGGGCACGTGTAGGGATAAGCTTTCAGAAGCTGACACTCTGAAACAAACGCAAACAGGTGAACACTTGAAAAACGCGAACATTCATCAAATGTACAAAGCTGGTGTTCAGGCTCGTCGAGCTGGTAATGACAGTCGGGAAAATTGTACTGCTAAGAAGCTGTCCTCAGGCAGCCCTGTGAAGGCAGCAAATCCAAAACAGGCTTCCAAAGACTGGGATCCTGCAAGGGAAGTGACTCTGCAGAGCCCCCAGCCAGTTAAAAACTGCAGCTTGGAGGATTCAGTAGGCATAAACGCTGAGGCAGACGAGGTGGATGTGGTCCCCGAGAGCCCACTTTCAGATGCAGGCTGTATCGCTAGTTCATCTGATCTTTATGACTTTCAGAACCGAGATCAGGGATGTTTGGGGGAGTCACCCTCTTTTGAGAAAGGGAGTGAGCCTGAATCCCCAATGGATGTGGATAACTCCAAGAACAGTTGCCAGGTTTCAGAGGCTGATGAAGAAATCAGTCCACTTCTTGAGGACCATGACAATTTTGATGGGTCAGAAGTACCAGACAATTCCGCACGGTTCCGAAGGACAGATGCTGACCAGGATTTGAGAAAGCTACAGTTTGCTTCCCGGAAAAGTGAAGGTGCTCGATTTAGTCTCAACACAGAAGGAGTTGATAATCCACTGAAAGATAGTGAAATGCACACGGAGGCTTCTGGAACCTCACCCCTTCTGTCATCTGAGTGCAGAAGTGCCAAGCCCTATGGCAGGAAAGACTCTAAAATTACTGCCCACTTCGCACGGGTTCATAGAGCAGATGAGAAAAGGTATTTTTTTTCTGACTCTAAATTTGTGAATACCATGAGCAGCTTATGAGTTTGATAGAGTAAAATGTAAAGTAGATGCGGTTACTTCAGTGTGGCAAAATCACAGAATGACATACGACAGGACAAGAGGTGTGGTTTCTGGGATGATGCAAAACATGAGTTTTTAAAAGGCTATTTTCAGTGTCCCAAGTTTGGGATGAAACACAGAATTTTCTGGATTTTTCCCCCAAACTCAGGATAAAATAAGCATTTTATTTTTGCTGTAGAGAACAGTGGGATCTCAAAACAGATCCATGCTCTCTTGCATTTCATCTAAGGGAAATTAGCAAATTCCCATAGAAAACAATGAAAGCGGTTAAGGAGAAATAAGTCTATTTTTATACAGCCTTTTTACAGAATGTTTTTTAAATCATCCTCATAGCCAATTATTATTACTATTATTTATTAAACTTGTATGCTGCCCGACTCAACAACTCTGGGTGGCTTACAACAATCAAATAAATTGCAATAAAATCAATAAAACG